ACCAAGACACTTTCCCACAGAGCAGGGAGCCTGCACTTTTTTGACCAGGCCGCTTCCTCCTGCCAGTCTGGCAGTGTTCTGCAGGACAGGAATTATCAGAGCCACTGTTTTCAGTGCCCCTTCCTTTAGCAGAGAATGCAGCCTGGACCTGTAAGTTTTAGGCTCACCTCACCCTAGGGCCTGGCATCCTGGTTTCCTACAACAGAGGACCCACATTCAGTCCCCAGCACCCACATGGTGACTGACAACCATTTGTAACTCCAGTTCCAGGGGATCTGATGCCCTCTTCTGGCCTCCACCAGCATTGCCCAACACAAGTGCACTTATATGCAGGCAAAACACTTGTACACATAAAATAAATTTAGAAATGTCTTTTTAAAAAAAAGATAAGAAAAAGGAAAGGAAGACCAATGAGTTGTGGGGCAGGAAGGATCCTGGGATAAAGCCCAGGTTTCTTTTTTCTTCTTAGAGTTTTAATTTTTTATTTATTATTTAATTAGTTTATTTTTATTTTTTTAAAAATATTTTTATTTTATATGTATGAGTGTATTGCCTGCATGTATGTGAGTGCACCCATGTCGTACAATGCTGTGGAGGTCAGAAGAGGGCTTCGGATTCCCCTGGAACTGGAGTTAAGAACTGTTTGCAGCCACCATATGGGTGCTGGGAATCGAACCCGAGTCCTCTGCGAGAGCAGTCAATGTTCTTAACCACTGAGCCATCTCTCCAGCCCCTAATTAATTTATGTTTTATTGTGTCTATGTATATGTGTCTGTATGGACATGTGAGTGCAGGTGTTCATGGAGGCCAGAGTAGCATCAGATTTCCTAGAGCTGGAGTTACAGGTAGTTGGTTGTGAGCTACCCAACATGGGTGCTGGGAACTGATCTTGTGTCCTCTGCAGGAGCGGTACACACTCTTGATAGCTGAGCCATCTCTCCAGTCCTCAATTTTCTTTTTTAAAATATCTCTTTATTCTTTGACAATATCATACGTGTAGACAGTAATCATATTCACTTCCAACTTCCTCTCTCATCAGCGCTCTGGGCACCCTCTAACATGCCCTCTCCCACCTTTATGTCCTTTTTGTTGGTGGTTTGTTCATTTGTTGACACAGTCTCCCTGTAGCCCCAGGGGCTAGCAGGAACTCACTATGTAGAACAGGCTGGCCTCAATCTCACAGAGCTCCACCTGCCTCTACCTCTCAAGTACTTGGAGTAAAGGCGTGTGCCACTATGCCCAGTTCTTGTTTTGTTTTTCTGACTCCCTGAGTGCACCTAGTGCTGCCTGCTGGAATGCTGACTGAGCGTGTGGGCTTCATCTTGTGCAGGTAACCACAACTGCAGTGAGTTGCTAAGTACAATGGCCATGCCACGTCTAGAAGACAGACAGCATTACACAGCACTCCTCCCTCACATCCTTTCCAGCCCGTCTTCCACAGAGCTCCCCAAGCCTGGGGCGAGGCCAGATTTCTGGTTTAGCCAATACTGCTGGCTTCGCTGTGGAATTTTCTGTTAGTTCCTGTCTTTAACTTCTCATTTTACCAGAATGTTTTGTGGTACTTCTCCTAAGAACTATGATAGTTACTGGATATCCAACAGCTGCTGGACCACAGAGCTGCTCCCCAGCATCCTTGGAGCAGGATGCACGTCACAATTCAAAACTGTGTAGATTTAAGAAAGGTCAAGAGGTCATACATTGTACATCACATAGCATACCCAACAAGGGCTGGAGCAGTACTCCAAAGTCAAACACATTGATATTTCTACAAAACCTGTATGGCCAGTCTTCTGTCACAGATACTGGTCCTGTCCCTGTGATGAAATACCCTGACAGAAGCACCTTAAAGGAGAAAGGGCTCATGGGGATGAAAGTCCATCATGGTGAGGACGTCACAGCAGCTGGAGCTTGGAGCAGCTGGTCACATGGAAGCACAACTACAAAGGCCTGTGCTCAGCTGCTTTCTCCGTTCCCTGTAGTCTAGGACTCCAGCCTATGGAATGGTGTTGCCCACAGTGGCTACCTAATGAGGATAAACCCTGAAGGCCCAGCTCCCAGGTAGGTAGTTGTAGATCTCATGTGGAAAATTGATGAACCATCACATCTTCCAAAGAAGAATAAGTGAAGGCTGTGTGGAGCCACGTTGTTCTTCACCATTTTTGGCTCCAATCTGAACATCAGTAAGCAGATAAAAAGTGAAAGCTTCAGGGATGAAGATGGAGAGACGGCTTAGTGGTTAAGAGTGCTTGCTGCTGTTGTCAGTGACCTGGTTTGGTCCGCTGTGTCAGGAGGGCCACAATGTCTTTGTAACTGCAGCTCCAGGGGATTTGACACTCTTTTCTGGCCTGCGTGGGCACCTGTGCTCAGATCCCCCCACCACCCCATAATTCACATGTGGAAGTCAGGGCACAAATTAGGGAGGTCAGTTCTCTCCTTCCACCATGTGGGTCCCAGGGATCAAACTCAGGTCCTCAGATTTGGTGGCAAGCACCTTTACCTGTTGAGCCATCTTGCTGGCCAAATTGTATCCAATTTAAAGACTATAATGGAAATAAGAACAAAGCCTCTCACGGTGATGTATCCAGATGACACAATCAATCCTAAATCCATTGAAAGTCCTGCTGTTTTCCTAGTATGTCCTTTAAGCTTACTTTTTAAAAGAAGGTATCTTAACTTTAATGTTCTTACTTTACCTGTATCCCCCAAATTCTATACTACGTAATCAATAGTTTTGCAATGAAATATTTTACATGCTTTTATTTGTGCTGCATCTTTGCATTCTGGGGTATTTTTATTTTATATTCATAACATATTCCACATCATGCCAGTCACATTTTAGGTACATGTGGCAAGTTGTGCTGTATTGGACAACACAATTCTAAAGCCCATGTTCTGTGTCACATTAAACTCAGGTCTATAATCAGTCTACCATATAATAGTTACTTTATTTTTTTTTTAGAAATTGTTTCAATGTTTTTATTTATTCATTTTTGTGTGTATAAATGTTTTGCCTGCATGTTTGTAAGTGCTCTCACGCCATGCAATGCCACAGAGGCCAGAAGAGGGTGTCAGCTCCCCTCAACTGGAGTTATGGATGGTTGTTAGCTTCCACGTGGGTGCTGGGAACTGAACCTGGGTCCTCTACAGAGCATCCATTGCTCTTAACCAGAGAGCCATCTCTCCAGCTCCCCCTTCAAAATTTTTTTTTGTTTTTCTCTAATGTACTTACAAACTATTTTGTTTTGAAACAGGGTCTTGTTTTATTGGCCTGAAACTCACCGTGTGGGCCAGGCTAACCAGTTCAGAATCTTACTGCCTTGACTTCCCGAGTGCTGAGATTATAAACATATGCCACCATGCTTAGCATGAGTAATTATTTCAAACCATTTTGGATCTTTGTGTTCTATTCCTGTGTGACTACTTCACTAAATACTAAATTCATTCTTTTAGTTGAATATGTTACCTTGTTTCCTTAGAGTGTTTCCTGTTTCTCTAAGTTTAAATATTTATAGTTTTAAATATCTATTCAATCCTAATTACTACTAGATTTGTGCTTTTCAGGATTTGATATTTAAGAATACATTTTTAGGACATAACTTTTAGAGATATTCACCCATTTTAAGAGTATAATTCAAGTTGGAGAGATGGCTTAATGGTTAAGAGCACTGGCTGCTCGTATAGAGGGCCTGGGTTGCCAACAACCATCTGTAACTCCAGTTCCAGAGGTCTGACTTCTGCAGGCACTGCACACACGGTGCACTTACATACATGCACACACAAAGCACTCCTACACATAATAAATAAATAATATTTAATAGGGTATTTAAATGTCTTTTAAAAAATAAATTCACCAAATGTTGATAAATTTTACCATAATCCAGTTTTAGATGATTTTCATCATGCAGTAAGATTGCTCTTACCCATTTCAGTTAATCCCTTTCCCACCTCCAAGCCCAAGTAACCACTAACCTTTTCTCCATAGATTTTCCCATTTATGAGTATGTCCTATAATACGATACATTTAATTAATGAACAATCTATGGAGTTAAATGCAGCAATAAGTATACAGTTTACCCTATCAATACAATTTTTATTTATTCACTTTCTTTAGAATTTTAAACCTTCCTGGATGCCAGCTATTAAACAGTTTAGTAAAGCCCTGTTTTACTTTCATTTCCTGTGATAAAATAACCTGACAAAGGCAACCTAAGGGAGAAAGGATTTGTTTGGTTCACAATTGTGTGTTTTGGTCTGTCATTGCAGGAACTTGAAGCAGCTAGTCACGTTACACTTCTAGTCAGGAGCGGAGAGCAATGGATTAGTTCTTGCATGCAGAGCTCAGCTAACCTTCTCTCTTTTGTTCAGTCCAGGACCCCAAGCCCAAGGTGTGGTGTTGCCCAGTAAGCAGGTCCTCCCACATCTATTAGTGCAATTAAGATAATCCCTCACAGACATTCTCAGATGCCCCTCTCCCAGGTTATTCTAGGTTGCATCAAGTTGACATTTAAAAGTAGCCCACACAAGTCCTTACTATGGTAACTGGACCCATAATAAGATGCATTGTTCTTGTTAACATTATGTCGATATTACTAATTATAATGGCTACTTTTGTGTTACACAAGCTTCATTTCTCTAGCACATGAAAACAAGGTTTAATTTCTTGATGTCTTTCAGAGTCAGGATCTAAGTGTGAGACCAAGAAGTTACCACCAAATCAATTCAACAAATCTGGGCAAAGGATTTGTCAGAAACCAGTTTCTTCACAACAAAAGATTCCCCCAGGGAAGACGAGCAACCTCAAAAATTCGTTTGTAAGAGAATCCAAGAAAGGACATTCAGGGAAGAAATCTTTAAAATGCAATCACTGTGAGAAAACCTTTATTCGAAGTTTCTCTCTTAAACTTCATCAGCATTCTCACGATGAAGAGAGGCCTTACGAATGCAGTCATTGCAGACAAGCTTTCAGACAGATCCCATCCCTCATTCTTCATCAGCGAATTCACAATGAGAAGAAAAGCTATGAATGTGATAAATGTGGGGAAATTTTTAATAAAAAATTAACTCTTAAGGTACATAGGCGACTTCATAATGGAAAGGAAATTTTTAACCAGGGTAAGGCCTCGAGTTCATGCCCATCTCTCAGTGTACATCATAATATTCCCACTGTTGAGAATATACACCAGTGCAGAAAATGTGGGAAAGCCTTCAGCCAGATGTCATCTCTTTTACTTCATAAGAGAATTCACAATAGAAAGAAAATGCAAAAAGACAGTAAGTATGGGAGAGGCTTCAAAAGGAAGCCTGTCCTTGTCGTACATAAACGAATTTGTATTAGAAAGAAAACCCTTGGCAGTGAGAAGGCCTTAAGTCAGACTCTCCCCCAGAGAAATCGTCATTTAGAGAATCCTTTCACATGCAGAAAATGTGGGAAATCCTTCAGTAGGATTTCACCTCTAATGCTTCATCAGAGACGCCACACTTCAGGGAAACCCTATAAATGTGATAAATGTGTTAAAGCCTTTAGACGGCTTTCAACCCTTATTCTGCACCTAAGAATCCATAGCGGAGAGAAGCTGTACAAGTGCAATAAATGCGACAGGGTCTGCCACCGGCAGGCGTCCCTTCTTCAACATCAGAAAATCCATAAAAGGAAAAAGAAACGAATTGAGTGCAAGGAATGCGGAAAGATGTTTTGTGGACTTGAAAACCTTAAAGTACATCAGAACATTCATTCGGAAGAGAAACCTTTCAAGTGCAACAAATGTAGTAAAGTTTTCGGCCGCCAGTCATTTCTTATCGAACATCAAAGAATTCATACTGGAGAGAAGCCCTATCAGTGTGAGGAATGCGGGAAAACATTCAGTCACCGAATATCACTTACTCGACATAAGAGAATCCATACTGAAGATAGACCCTATGAATGTGATCAGTGTGGGAAAGCCTTCAGCCAGAGTGCACATCTTGCGCAGCATGAAAGAATTCACACTGGAGAGAAGCCATATGTATGCAAAACATGTGGGAAGTCCTTTACTCAGCGCATATCCCTCATTCTGCATGAAAGAAGCCATACTGGGGAGAAACCCTATGAATGTAATGAATGTGGGAAGGCATTTAGTAGTGGCTCAGACCTTATCAGACACCAGAGAAGTCATTCTTCAGAGAAACCATACGAATGTAGTAAATGTGGTAAGGCATATAGTCGCAGTTCATCCCTGATTCGACATCAGAACACACATTCTGAGGGAAAATCCTAAAGTTGTTTCCAAATCTGTAAAAGCAAAGAATGAGGTTATCAAAGAAGTGTTCAGAGGCATGAAGAATGTGTGTGCTCTTGACTTATGATGGGGTTATGTCCCAATAAACTCATAAGTTAAAAATATTGTAAAAATCCATTAAACGGCTAGGCGTCATGGCACACACCTTAATCCCAGCACTTGGGAGACAGGCAGGTGGATCTCTGTGAGATCAAGGCCAGCCTGGTCTGTATAGCAAGTTTCAGGCCAGCTGGGCTACAGGGAAACCCTGTCTCAAAAAAAAAAAAAATCATGAAACGTATCTGTTCTACCAAATGGGATAGTTTAGCAGCATAGTACAATGTGGCGTATCAATTGTTCACTCTCCTGATTGCATGGCTTCCTGGAAGCTACGCCTCATCCTGCTGCCCAGCATCATGAAAATATCATCTGCCGACCACTTGCATAGGGACACATCACAACTTGACACACAGTTTCTATCTGAATGCATATTGCTTCTTTACCATCATAAGCTGAAAAATCCTAAGTCAAAAATCATGTGTGTCTGTGGGGGGACACTATATTTACCTATAAATTTTGTATATATGGGACCATTTGATGCTGATCTCCCTTTAAAGGCCAAGGACCAAAAGTAATTGGTAACTTTTGAATTGAAGAGTTGAAATCAACTGAGATATGCTCAGAAGATCGGATCAGTCTTTATGAATGAAGGTGTTTATCATTTGACCTTTGATTTGCAGTACAGTTTTGAGGACATTTGACTGACCACATACAATGAAATGGCTTTGCAAAGTCCATTACAGGAAGAGAGAGTTTGAGTCTATTCTAAGAACTCAAACTATCATATATAAGGGACTAACTGCCAAAACAGGGTGCCTCTTTCTCCTGACAGAAATGTGTTGGGTGAGTCTTCAGGTAAATAAGAATAGTGCACACAATGGTGTGAGGTGGTAGCCATAACCACTCTGCCCCCATAGATATGAAGATATGGCTTAAAACTCTAGTATGACCAAGACAGGATAAGGGGGCTAAAACCCAGGGAGTGCTGAAGAGCGAGGAACTTCAGAGCAGGGAGAATGGTTGTTTTTTTATTTAAAAATAAATTGTCTATATTTATATGAACAACAACTGCTATTTTTGTGTAATAATGCTGATGTATGTGTTATGGCCTTAATGTTTGTGTCACCCGAAAACTGTGTTAAAACCCTACCCCCCCACCCCCAGTGTGATGGTATTTAGAAAGAAGATTAATGAAGCCATGAGGACAGGGCCATTATAAGAAGAAATGCCAGAGAGCTTGCTCTCTTTCTGCCCCACTTGAGAACAGGGACAACCATCTGCAGCTTGAACAAGGCCCTCACCAGAACCTGACCATGGCGTCAGCCTCCATCACTGTGAGTTGCTAAATTCTGTGAAGTCAACCAGTTTGTGGCATTTTGTTATGACAACTCAAGTTGACCAATACACAGGAGAACGCCTAGGCTCATATACCAGGCTGTTTTCCTTTGTCGTTCACTGTGCACAAGGCCTTTTAGTCCCTCTTTCCAGCTTGTGTAAATTATATAAGAAATAAAGTCATCAGAGTTCTTTTGTGTGATTGTATACAATCAGGCTCTTTTGTGTGTTTTCCTTCTGCAAAAGCTATGTATGGAGACACCTACTTCTTGTTAACCAAACTTTGTACCATAGGATCACGTGGGTCTAATTTTGACAAATGTTGGAATTTGAATAAGAAACGTGCCCCACAGGCTCATGGTCCCCAGCTGGTGGGAGGCTCTGGGAACTTTAGGAGATGCTTCACTGGAGAGGTAGGTCACTGTGTGTGGGGGCAGGGGGCAGGGCTGCCATGTCCTAGGGGGCTGTGTCTGGTTCCACTCCCTCCTTTTAAGTCATCCAGTCTGTGGGATTTTTGTTACAGCAGCACAAGCCAACTAATACATGAGAGAACTCCTAAGCCTTTACTGAAGTCTCCTCTCCTTCACCCTCTCTGCTCATTTCTGATTACCATGGTGTGAGCTGTGCTCTGTCATGTTCTCCCAGTGACCGAAGCTAAAATAAGTCTCCCTTTGTTTCACCCAGATATTTTGTTTCAGCAACAAAAAAGTCTGATATAAGTGAAAAAAGCAATCAAGATTGTGAGAGAGAAACATGATGCCTGGAAAGGGCTGACTCGCCATTTAGAATGGTCCTTGGGGCTGGAGAGATTGCTCAGCAATTAAGAGCACTGGCTGCTCTTGCGGAGGACCTGGGTTCAGTTTCCAGCACCCACGTGGTGACTAACAACCACCCATAGCTCCAGTTCCAGGGGATCTGACGCCCTCTTTGACCTCCATGGGCATTGCACAACAGGTGCATTTACATACACGCAGGCAATACACTCATAGAAATTTCTCAGATGACTCTAGGCTGTGCGAAGTTGACAGAGCTAACTAGGAAAACACGCTTTGCCCAAGGATGCCCTGTCTATGCTTAGTTTTGTTTTGTTTTGTAACTAAAAGAGCCGACAATTTCATTTTCACATTTCACAATACAAATGAAAACAGCCCTTTTTTGTCCCCCTCCTCCCTTTTAAAACAATGTCCTTGCTAGGAAAGGACAGAAAGCTTCCTAGTCATGCTGCTAGAAAACACTCAGATACAGCACCATGATCTCCTGGTGAAATAGAACACAAAATGCAAAACTGACACAGTCCTCTGTTCTTACGTGCCTGACCGAGTCATGCCAGGCCAGGTGGGCACCATCATGGGGCAAGCGGGAGGTCTCATCATTGGAAGCCCAGGCATTGTGGGCATGTGGCTTCCCATGGGTGGCCTCATTCCAGGAGCAGGTCCCACGGGCATCATCCCAGGAGGCAGCCCATCATTGGCATCATAGGAGGGCCTCCCATGTGGGGTGCTGACATCATACCAGGGTGAGGAGGACCTGGGAGACTGGGGGTTGTAAAGTCAAATTCACTACTGGAAGGCGCATGTGGCATCCGGTTGCCTCCTCCCACTGTCCTTACAACAACCTGAGGCAGGAATTCTCCAAAACTGCCATTTGGAAAATCCTAAGGAGTTTATTGGACTTGCTAACTGAGCTTGGAGTGCTGGTTTACTTACAGAAGAGTGGGCGTGTCACCCCCTCCCTCATTCACGGCTGCACTGGAAAGTCCGCATCCAAACATAAATCCTGTGGCTTCCCAACAGTCACACAAAATGGTGAGAGATGGGCCTCATGGCTCTTGGGTTTCTTGGCTTATATATCCTTAACCCCTCCCCTTCAGGCAGATGCCTTCCATAGAGTGCAGAGCGTGGGAAGGAGGTGGGACTATAGCTTGCTATCATAGTGGTCAGAGGAACTTCCAGGTTACTGGGTGAGGTGGGGTCGTGGCCCCAGCAGGAGGAGGCGCAGAGAGGAAAATACGGTTATCTTTCCTTGTCAGATGCAGGCGTTGTTCTGTCAGTCAGGCTCCAGGCCTGCTCTTGCATCCGCTTCTGGTCGTAGTACTTTTACGTTCTCCTTGTTTCCGAACACTACAGCGTCTTTCTCACAGATGGAGAGCCACGGGTAAGATACATATCACGGTAGTCACAATAAAATGTGGGCATGTTGCCCTGCAGGCCACTGACTACTCGGTTCTGTACCTACTTCTGTCTTACCTCACTGCCTGCTGTGTTTCTTGCTCTTGGCGTTTCAGGACTGCGCTGGGATAGCAAGGCACTGGAAAACAACCCAACTTGAAAGTGGGTGTTTGTTTCTTTTTTATTTCGGATCCTCATTCCCTTTTTCAGGCCTGTTCATTCTCACAGCTCTTCTTCTTAAAGACATTTCTTTAAAAAAACCACTTTGTTTATATTTTTATTTTATGTGTATAAGTGTATTGCCTACATGTATGTAAATGCACCTGTGTTTTGCATTGCCACAGAGGTCAGAAGAGGGTTTCAGATCTCCTGGAACTGGAGTTACAGGCAGTTGTTAGCCACCATGTGGGTGCTGGGAACTAAACTCCAGTCCTCTGCAAGAGCAACCAGTGCTCTTGACTGCTGATCTATCTCTCCAGCCCCCTTAAAGACATTTCTGAAGATACTACATAGGTAAAATAACTCTCTACGCTCATGTGTGCCCCCACCTAGGAACTTGGTAATTTTCTAAAGGATTGAAACCTGTCTTACCTCTTTTGAATCTTTTGCATTATAGAAATTTCAGAAATCCATCCAAATTAAGAAGAAAATTAAGCTGCTTGTTTTTTGAAAAAAATTCTAAGAACAGAATTGACAAAAGACATTTTAGCAATACACTGGTATAAAGGAGTTTGTTAGGAGAGTATTATGAGCTTAAGGGATGCCCATGGTGGCTTCCAGGATGTCCACGTGGTTTATGGGTTGCCCATGGTGGCTTCCAAGATGTCCACAGTGGCTTAAGGGATGCCCATGGTGGCTTCCAGGATGCTCACGGTGGCTTCCAGGATGCCCATGGTATTCCAGTTCTCCTACTCTATAAGAAATGAAGCTCTGGGGCTGGCAAGATGGCTCAGCAGGTAAAGGTGCTTGCTGTCAAACCTGACAACCTGAGTTCTATCCCTGGACCACCATAGTGGAAGGAGAGAACCAGCTCTGTAAGTTGTCCTCTGATCTCCACACATGTTGTAGCATGAGCAGGCACACACATACACAACATACATGCTCATAAAATAAATGTAATAGATATTATAAGATTGAACTACCACAGATCCATGGTAAGTTTAAAGGCATAAATTAAATGTGAAATAATGTATGTCATGGGAAGATGCTTGGTATGAAAACAAAAACAAAAATAAGAAATATATAAGGAAGCCTCTGCTTCCCTGGGTCTGAAAGACCTGCTGCAGGCCTCTCTCCTACCCACTGGCCTCTCTCCGGGGTAAGTCCATCCACCCTCCGTGCCTGACTCCCCCAGCCTCATTCACCCTCCCATCTCCCCACCTTTCTCTCCTCTGAGTTTGGGCCCTGCCCCATTCCTTGTCTTGGGGCCCCAGACACCTGGGGAACCAATACTGCTTCCTGATCCTTTTCATCCAGACCAACATAGTGCCTTCTCTGGGCCCCAGGAGCACTGCATATGGGCCTGGCCCCGCCCTCACCTCCCTCTGCTTCCCTGGGCCTGCACCACCTGCCAGCCTCTTTCTGGGATAGGGGGGCTGACCTTTACTCTTCCTGATCCTTTGCATCCAGACCAGCCCAGCTCCTCAGTGCAGTCCCCAGAAGTCCTTAGGGCCTCTTCCTGCTTCATCTGCCTTTGCTTCTCTGGGTGGAATGGCCACCAGCTGCCCTAGACTAGCATCTTTCCTGGGCCAGGCTCCCAGGCCAGTCCAACCCCCAAATTCCTGAGACCAAAATCCTTCCTGGAGGGATCCAGACCTTAGGAGAAAGCCTGAAGATATCTGACCCTCATCTGAATTAGGCCTCTGTGGAAACTCCTGAAGACAAAAGCAATCGGCCACTCCAATATAAAATCAAAACAGAGAACTGGAAGCTTAGATGAACCAGCTTTTCATGCCCAAAAAGTAAACCACAAAGACACATAAAGTTCACAAAAAGAA